CTCAAAAACACTCTGAAAAATATCTCTAATCGCACTTTCGGGAGGGACAAGGGCAGTTGGAAGTAGGCCAAGTGGTAGGGACAAGGGTAGCTGGAAGTAACCAATTGAGGATTTCGATTTTTTGGTAAAATTTCAACTACGCAGTTGGATTTTGTTGCAAGAACATTCCGGATCTAGAATTGCCCCCCAAACTTTTGGAACTGATGTTTAATTGCTTTTGTTTCCTGGGGAGGCCTGGATTATCCCAAACTTTCGAAACTCGTAGGGTCTTATGCATGAAATCTGGACCTGAATTCTCCATCTGTATTTACTCATATCGCTTTGATATAAATATATATGAATTACAGGGCGATTGGAAAACAAGCGGATGATGATAGTCAATATTTGCAACAGCTCGTTATTAATTTTATCATTCGTTTGATCAAAAATCCACGTGAGTTCATTTTTTTTTTTTTTTTGGAAATTTAAAAATGATAGCTGTTATGATGCTTTCAGCATCATACTGTCGTGAATGGAGCCCTTTTTGAAAATGATTGTGGACCGAAAAGAAAAAATGGTGCTTTGTTGCTATTACTTTTCTATTTTTCTTCGATCCGGACGAACCAGATTCACATAATTCAGTGCCTGCATTGAGATCTTCCAGCCTTATTGCCCGAAATCCCTTGCATTTACTTAACTTCTTGAGGGTACCATTCAGTAAGTCCAGTGTTGGACTGGGGCCTTGAAGGCCTTGCGCGCTGGCCCGGTACTTGGGCGCCTCCTTGAATCGTTGGCTGGGTCGTCGATTCCTTGGTGATTATGACTCGGGCTGGGAGAGTCCACGTCCTTCGTTGATCGTCGATGCCGCCAGCACAACACGCCACATATTCATTTAACACAGAAACAACGGCCTTATATAAGTAGCTTCGCACCATTATACATGCCTCATCTAGGAAGGAATCATGATGCAACAGCACAGTGTGTCCGTTTATTCTTATTTTCGCCACACCGCCAGCAGCCCAGCTTTTTTTTTGTGTGTGTGTGCGTACAGGTATTTTCAGGAGGATATAAAGTGACTGTGAACGATTTACACTTGGACACAGTCGTTGATATTGTTCGTCATACTCAGAGCCATCGGATTCTTCGAGATTGTTTGAACCTCCTAACATGCGCTGTCGTTGTTGCACCGGTTAGTTTCCTCAACCGAATCCAGTAACCGAATCAAGCTATTGCTGTTTGCAAAGTCGAATAATTTGGTAGAATCACCTTATAATTGAGCAAGTGATGCGAGCTGAGATCGCCTCCTCCTTTTTCGTCTTGATTTTTATGCCTTAATCGTTCATCTGTGGGAAAGAAAAACATGCAAAATTGAAGTGGTTGGGTTCAAAATAAGGTCGGAACACGTAAAAATTGGACGAAGAGGTAAAAAAAAAATCAGCATAATACGGCTTTTTTGCATTATTATTCGAATGGATAATTAAGATTACTTATAAAAAATTATTTA